GGGCACCCTCCTACACTGTTGGTGGGAATGTAAACTGGTACAGCCCCTCTGGAAAGCAGTGTGGAGGTTCCTCAGGAAACTAACAATAGAACTCCCCTAGGACCCAGCAATAGCACTGCTAGGAATGTACCCAAGGGATACAGAAATGCTGATGCATAGGAGCACATGTACCCCAATGTTCATAGCAGCACTCTCAACAATAGCCAAAACATGGAAAGAGCCTAAGTGTCCGTCAACAGACAAATGGATCAAGAAGATGTGGTTTATCTATACAATGGAATACTACATGGCAATGAGAAACAATGAAATCTGGCCATGTGTAGCAACATGGATGGACCTTGAGGGTGTTATGCTGAGCGAAATAAGTCAGGCAGAAAAGGACAAATATTGTATGTTTGCACGTATAGGAGGATTAGGAGGAACTTAACGGAAGACCATGGGGGAGAAGAAGGGGGGAAATGGTGGGGGAAAAGGAGAGAGGCAAACCATGAGAGACTCTTGAATGCTGAGAACAAACTGAGGACTCATGGGTGTGGGGGGGGCAGGGGGGGAGATGGGCATGGAGGCGGGCACTTGTGGGGATGAGCACTGGGTGTTATATGGAAACCAACTTGACAATAAACTATTTGCAAAAAAATAAAAAATATGCCTGTTTCTTTCTTGGAAAAAAAATCCAGTTGCAATATCACCGAGATCACCTGAAATTTATAGAATAATTTAAGAAGAATTAATATCTCTATCAATTTATTTATTTATTTATTTATTTATTTATTTAGGCAGTTGCTCAGGTCAAAAACTTTAAGGGCTCATTTCTGCATGTCTGTGTCTCCCAGAGCCCTCATCCAATCCATCAGCAAATCCTGGCAGCAGTTCCTTCGATATATATATCCAGGAACTGACCACTGCTCACATACTTTGGGCCAGTTCACACCTTCACCATTTTCCACCGCATTTCTGCACAGTTTCTGAACTGGTCTCCCTGCGTTCTTTCTGGCTTCCATCTTTTCTCAGCCCAGAAGCCAGAATGAACCATTCAAATTTAAGTCAGATCAACTCCACTCCTCTGCTCAAAACCCTCTGTGCTGCGGTGGAATACTATTTAGCCACGAAAAAGGAAGTCCTGCCATTTGCGACAACATGGATTGATCTGGACAGAGGACATTGCATGAAGTGAGAGAAGTCAGAGAAAAACAAGTACTGTATGATCTCACTTGCAGGGGGCATCTACAAGAGCCGACCTCACAGAAACAGAAAGTAGACTGGTGGTTACCAGTAACTGGTGGTTCCTGGGGGTGGGGTGGGGGTGGGAGGTGCTGGTCAGAGGGCACAAACTTCCAGCTAGAAGGTGAGCAGGTTCTGGGGACCAATGTCCAGCCTGGTGACTATGGTTAACAGTACCGTATCGTATACTTGGAAGTTGCTGAGAGTAGATCCTGAATGTTTCCCCCTCACACACAAAAATAATTATGTGAGTTGGTGGAGGTGCTAACTGATCATATTGTGGTAATCATTTTGCAGTAGGTAAATGTATTATGTTATCATGTCGTACACTTAAAGCCTCCACTATGTTAAATGCCAATTATATCTCAATAAAGCTCAGGGGGAAAACCCCTTTTGGAAGCTTTCTACCTCACTCAAAGCGAAACAAACAAGAAACAAAAACAAACCGAGACTTGGAGCACAGATCTGAAGGTGCAAGAGTTAGCCATGTGATTATTTGAGGGAAAGAGTCCCAGGCAGAGCCAAGAACCAGACAGAGCAAAGGCCCAAAGGCAGGAACATGGCGGATGGTCTTGGAGCTGAGGTGACCACACCAGCATACCATGGGCCAGGGTCTTGCGAACCAGTTTGTTACAGATTATCCAAAGCAGTTACTTAGGTGGGGTGGGAACTGGGGTCGCAGGGGTGTGGCAGGGAGAATTAACTTTTACATTAAAAGTCTCGTGGAACTATTTGACTTCTCAAAGGATATGTATGAGTTTGATTAAAAAAATTGATTCGTTAATTAATAAAGGATTTTAAAACACTGACTTACAAAAGAAAGATATAGAAACAGATGGCATTTGTCAGCGCGTAGTGGGAGTTGAGCTTTTCTGTTAGCAGATGGACATTCTTATAACAAACTCCATGATTTCTCAGTCATCTTGATTTTATTTTTTTTATTAAAATTTTTTTAAAAAATTTATTTCTGAGAGAGAGAGACAGCGTGAGCAAGGGAGGGTCAGAGAGAGAGGGAGACACAGAATCTGAAGCAGGCTGCAGGCTCTGAGCTGTCAGCACAGAGCCCAACATGGGGCTGGAACCCATGAACCATGAGATCATGACCTGAGCTGAAGTCGAACGCTTAACTGACTGAGCCAGCCAGGCGCCCCAATTGGTACCACTTTAAAATCCTGGGTTGTGGTTTTTTTAGATTGCTCATCTGGGTAAGAATTTGGGCTGAAATCCAAGTGTGAGGTAACTTGTAAGTCATCAGGAGAGTTCATGTATGTTTATATTTTAACCTTCCACCTAGGACCGAAGTTCAAGACTGGAATTTTCCCTCAGGGTCCCCCCTGGGGGGATGGGTCCCAGCCTCAGGCATGCTGTGCCTGTGTGTGTGTGTGTGTGAGAGAGAGAGAGAGAGACAGACAGATAGACAGACCCATCTTACCCTGGATTAGAGAGAGACAGACAGACAAATAGACAGACAGACTCATCTTACCCTGGGTTGACCCCAGACATCATGTATCTTCTAGGCCCCCTGACCCTGTAAAAACTAAAGCTGTTCTTAACCTCAAGTTTCCAATCTTCATTTATTGGGCTCTGGGTATTCCTTACCTTCTTGTCAGCCCATCACATCAGTTTTTCTTGTGCTCGCTTCAGCAGCACATATATTAAAATCTTTTCTTAATCCAACATTGTAAACAGTATCTGGTTTATACCCTAAGTCTGTGCAAATACGTAAAATCAACAGTTCTTTCTCCTTTGATTTGAAATAAAACACACAAAAAAAATGAGTGTGCAATTCAGGTTTTATTGCTTATCAATCATGTCATTCCATACAATTTTAGGTAAACAGACTTTGAGAAAATATACTGGGGGGTGTTAAACAGATGATGGCAATACAGATGAGAAAGTTCAAGTGCTTCACAGAAGGTAGTAAGAGGCACCACTGCCGCCATCACCCCCCAAATTTGTACAGTTCATATAAAAAGAGTAAAAATAGTTCATTGGCATTTAACTAGCATTATTCTTTGTCATCTGGGAGCCGCAACATGAGCCTGAACGAAGTCAATCTTCGGAGCAAAACACAGTCCGTCCCACTGGCAGATGTAGCTGTTTCAGCTTCTTTAAAAACAGGCAAATGAATCAACATCACCAAAACCATGCACACAAGCCCGAAAACCAAAGCTGGCACGTTCCAGTGGTCTTGAACTTTGCTGTTTCTATTATATTACTTCAGGATAGAAGATGTGATTCAGCTTTTGAAAATCAGATTACACTTCTTCACTATGACTGCACAGAATTTACTTTGTAGTTGCGATGGCTGAACAGAGCCTAATGTTAACCCGGGGAAATCCAGGGACACAACTCAAATTGCTCTTATGCCAAGGACACGTCTTTACAAGTTAATTATTATTTAAAAACTCAGACGCAAGCTGCACAGGTATAACTTGAGGAAGCAACAGTCTACCGTTGCAGACACTACAGCAGCAGTTCTTAGGGTTTTAAAGCCGGGGAGCAAATGTGGTCACTAGAAATCGCACATACACATCAGTAACTTCCTGCTTCTGCTACACTGATAGCTTCCCTACTAGTTTGGTGATTTTAAAAATAATCGAGCGTGTAGTATGATTCAGCATTTGAAAACCTTCTATGTCTCTTATGATGAAGATGGTGAGGCTGAGAAATACAAGTAGATACTTGAAAAGAAACAAGACTTGAAATGTGGTTTTATATTAAGCCACTTCGAAGACCTCAGTTACCGGACAACTAAAAACACGCAGTCGCAGATAAATAGGAATTTATTAAAACCACTGTCTACAACAATACAAAAATTAAATATTAAGGCATCTTTTACTCCCATCTTGGTATATGCAGCAAAGAGAAATGTCTTAAATGGGAACCAGCACTTTTAGTCAAATGCTTTCGAATGTATTTGGCAGATTTATTTTTATATTTTCCTATTTCACTCACCACCGAAAACTCTCATGGTCAAACATCATGACCCAAACCAAGAGAAAAGTAGAAAACAGATACTCATTTCCTAAAAGGAAGCAGTTTACCTTTGAAAAATAAGAAGAAACTACAAAGAATATTATGTATAAAGTTCAAATACTAGTATTTAAATTTCCCTGAAGCAATTTGTGCTTCAGTAATGAATGGAAAGAAGAGATAAAGACTTTATTAAGACGAGAAGTCTATTGATATGGACCACGCTGCAGAAAAACTGGTGACTCAAAATTCTGCTCCACTGGGGTGAGAGTTTCAAAGGGCCTTCCTACTCCTTTAAAAAATATCACTTCCACTAGAATAAGACCATATAAATTCACATTGATTACTTGTCATTTCCCATTTTGCCCATTTACGAAACCCAAGCATCTTCATAAAGTATACTAAACAGTAACATTTCACCTTTTATTAAGGCAAGTTTGTGAAAATAATTTAATACAACCAGATCTCTTCATGAACTTTCAGGTTAAAACATTTTTTTTCACATAAGAAACATACAAAAAATTCTGTTTTATAAAAAGCCACCTCAACACCAGAAAAGGGTAATGGAGGATTTTGAACTCAGTTTACTTTTTAAAGGATGCTCTTCCCTCGTCTCCCAATTCCAAGCACTATTCATCATCTTTAGAGCCAGTTTTGCTTAACTATAAAAAAAGATAAAAGACATAGTCAACAAGGTGAGGCTTTCATGTTATTTGAGTTCATTACTTCCACTTAACATCAGAAATAAATATTTATGGTTGATAGAACACCACACAGCAAGATTCATGTAATTCACACCATCTACAGCTTTCACCATATTTAATGAGTTTTCATCTTAAGGCTCAGCTACTTCAAACGGGATTCATTAAAAATATAACCTCAACAGGTGAAGGGGGGAAAAATCCTTCAAAGTTTTTCAATAAATAAGTTGGACCTGAAAAGCTGCCGTTTACAAAACAAATGATATTCTATTTTTGTTTTCCATCACAAATAATAAACTTAAAAAAATTGAAATTGTGGCAAAAGACCCCCACAGAAATTAAATACAGTTCTAAAAATGTGATAAAAATCTTAAATTGCAAGTCTTTTCTGATAGCAGTCTAAGGAAATTAGCAACTGGGGTGTTCCCAAAGAACACAGACAATTCTAACCAGAATAAAGACCCAGCCACCAAGAAATCCCCATTGAACCCAAAGCCGAGAAGCCCAGAGAATATGAGAGGCTGTGAAAGGCAGAAACTGCCAAGGGTAGAAGTTCTCCAACACTGGGGTCCCAGATCCTCTTCCCACTTTGAGGATCTTAAAGAGCTTGTTTTTAATGTAGGTTACACCTACCTCATTTGAATCTAAACCTGAGAAATTTAATTCATGTAAAAAATAACAATAAACCCATTACAGGAAAACTGAGTAACATTTCTTAAATGAAAACCTGCGTTTTCTAAATCAAACTAATAACACTTAATGTGAAGAAGAGTGTTGTTTTACACTTTTGTGTATTTCTTTATTATTGAGCTCAACAGAAGCAGCCGGGTTCTCACGAATCTGCTGCTACGGTGTGGCAGGCGCAATAGGATCCGGCTGGCAAGAACGCCGTACAAGTGTTAAGAACTGACTGACTTAATGTAAAAATGCACGCATATTTAGATTTGACACCTACTCACTACCTTAGAAAATTCTGGAAAACACAAGACTCTAGAAGCGCACATTCTATCAGTGTTCTAATCGAGTATTAGTGGTGGCATCATCACACTTCGCTCAACCTCTGCTCAACACCACAGTCCACTTGTGAGAGAATGCGGAGGAAGGGCAAACAACACTGTAATGTTAGATATAAGCAGTTTTGACCCTGCAGCCCCCCCGGGGGCCTCCAGGACCTCCCAGGGTCCAAAGATCACACTTGGCAACAACGATTTTCCAACACTTGGGCTAAGGGCTTCTGAGTCCTAACCACGCCTGGGTGGGAACCTCCCTCTGAAAATAACTTCGCCTGTCTCCCAAAATGACTCGATTATCTAAATCTTCATTTCTTTTATATTTCCTGAAATTCTATTTTGTATTAATAAGGACTCTCTGAAAAACAAACACCGACATTTCTGGAGCTAGGGAAGGAGGAGTACTATCACCTTCAGATTAACTGGACAATTTTCTCTTCCCAATTTCCAGGGAGATGTGCCGCCTAAGAAGAGGCACTCCCGTTCTGAGTTAGGAAACAGCTCATTCTGAGGCATGAAGCATCTGCGGAGGGAAACGACCGAGCTGGTGAGGTACCTACAAGTACACCTAGGTCAACAAGCAGGACCCAGCAGGCATCGGTGGGCAGGACCCAGCAGGCATCAGTGGAAGGGCCTGGGCAAGTGAGAGAAGGCTGGAGAAGCTGTTCCCACACAGATGTCTTGTGTACAGTGAGCCACTTGCCCAGAAAAGGGACAAGACATACCGCTTCTCTCTTCCAATTGCAGCTCATGGTTCCCTACTCCCAGGGACTATTTTTGTACTAGATTCTAGAAGCACAAAGATTATTTTCAACAGTTCTTATAGAAAAGGTATCCCAGGGCCCAGAGAGCTGATTTTTCACATCAACTTCAAGAATATGCTGCTTATAAATTATGTGTATTTGTAGGCCCTCACTAAAATCCTAATCTTCAACTTCCCTTATATCATATTAATTACTTCTCATGGCAGCAGTGGCACTAACTGGCATGCAAAACTCATTTCATGAAGTCCTATAAAGGGGATTAACTTACTGTGTTTAGTACCACTTATTTGAAACTATGAATAACTCACAAAACAAATTTGAGATAAGTTGCCAAAAAACTTCACGGTGAAAAGCGAACGATTTTAAACAAGAAAAACAGAAAGTTCTTCTTGACGATGATGGGGAAACTCCATCTACGGTCCGCCCCCATCCCCCTACAAAAAAACAAACCCAAAGAACCCAAAAAACTAATTTTATTAAGAAATCAAAGTATTTCTTTCTAGGACTCGTTTCTTCAGTTTACGTACCTGCTCCCGCTAATTCAATCACAGCGAGGCACGTTCATTCTTCAGATGTACTTATGTAATCAGTCATACTCTATTGTACTTACAACTTAGTTCTACTCATTTTCCATTAAAAACCAAAGAAAATCTAAAACTGAAGGTGTAAGAAAGAAAAGAATGTGAAGGATATTTCAAAAATACTTACGTGCTGAAGTAAAAAAGGAAACAGCCATCCCAGTAAGATTCGAAGGTGGAGGGGGAGAAAAGAATGTAAGATATGAGTTTCATTAATGGATGGCATAATTGTAACAACTGTCTGAAGCTTAGATTATACGTGTTATATACCTTCACCACATCAACCCAGTTCCATCCTCGAGGAAGCTGTCCTTTGTGATCTAGAAGATAAAATAGGAACTTTACTTCCAAGACCAAGCAGTGAATTTTAAGTTACTATTCTAATAAATAAGCTTTTGCATACTATCCCATGCAACAAATAAAAATTTAAATCACACGTTATTAAGTTAGAAAGCTAGCTAGTGTATCATCACTGTGAATTGGAGGCACAGCTCTCCTGGGGATACTGGCAAAGTACTTCGGATGTACTCCCCTTTCACTTTTACCCTATTTCCATTCAAGACAAAACCTGAGGGGCACCTGGGTGTCTCAGTTGGTTAAGCGCCAGATTTCAGCTCAGGTCATGCTCTCACAGTTCACAGGTTCAAGCCCAACATCAGGCTCTGTGCTGACAGCTCAGAGCCTGGAGACTGCTTTGGATTCTTGTCTCCCTCTCTCTCTGCCCCTCCCCGGCTCACACTCTGTCTCTCTCTGTCTCTCAAATATAAACATTTTTTTTTAAAAAAAGACAAAACCTGATATTAAGGGGAAAAAAATATGGAAGTGAGTTGGAAATGCCAGGAGGAGCTAATCAATTTATTAGTTTCATGCACTTGTACAATTTTATTTGCTTTTGATAAGGTCACCGCTTATTTAAGTAAGGAGATGTGTTACTTTACTGCTTCAGGAGTGATTCACACTAGGATGCGAGGCTCAAGACAAGAGACCTTATAAACAAATGTCTGGCCTCAAGACTAAGGTGGCCCGGTCAACGTATTCATTAAGCTTTGTGGTCTGAGAAAACATGCATTATTTAGGCCAACATTGTTTTATCTGACAGGACTTTAATTTATTGGGAGTGCTTGAAAACAAGTTCAGACTTTATGTAAGAATTTATAGCTTACAAAGTGATTTCATTCTTGCGATAGAATATTTAAACTTGAATAGTTTAATGAATACAATATAAAAATGTTTTAATTTAAAATGGCTTGATTTCCTTTATGCTTGAAGTATCTATATACATCTCATTTTATGGAGTCTTCAAAGTCTGCATTCAAAGCCAGGACATTAATTTTACACAAGGGAAACAGACAGTAACCTCATAATTCTTATAGGATAGAAGCAGTATCAGTGGAGCTCAAAATTAGATGCTGATGCTTCTTTCCTCCTTCATGCCAATAGGAATCTCATCCCACTGTTTACTGGTTATGAGGGGCCTGGGGGCAGGGCACCAATGTGGGTAACTAAAACATACCCACAGCGCCATGACTGTCCCATTCAAGTTTTATTTAGAATCCAGGTCACAAACTCCTATACCATAACTACAGAAAGATAATGCCTTTTAGGTGGACATCATCAGAAAGATGGAGGTAGGGAAGTCATAATGAAAGGAATGATCATAGGTCATTATGGATGAAAGCAGTAGGTAATGAACTGGCAGAAATGCTACAGCTTAAAAAAGAGATTAACTAAACTTCTAGGGAACAGATTACAACGGCTAACAACTCATTGCTTCAGTTGTTCATGCTTTAATTCTGCTTTCACATTAGGTATAATGGATTCCCAGATTTTTAATCTCACAAACCATTACAACTTCAAGAATGTATTTTGAGGGCCAACACAGGGTTGTGATCTTTTCATTCTGTCACGCAGGATGTTAAATAAAGCATCAACAACCAAAAAACTGCCATCACTTTGTAAAAGAAAGGGCCTTAGTTTAAACTTCCTCACCAAAGTACAAGGGGCAGTTCTTCTCAATGAAGGGCAACTTATAACCTTATAACAATCACTCACACACACACACGTACAGACTTGTATATACGTATATAAATGTTTATATGCACCCACAGTAATGTCCTCATTATTCTTAACTGAAAAAAGTTTACAGACTAATATCAACTTGCAAACTTTCAGGTTAAATAAAGAGTTCAGATATTATTGGTGGTATGGACTGGAATTTAGAACTCTCTTGGGGCGCCTGGGTGGCTTAGTGGGTTAAGTGTCCGACTTTCGCTTAGGTCATGATCTCGTGGTTTGTGGGTTCGAGCCCCGCGTCGGGCTCTGTGCTGACTGCCAGCTCAGAGCCTGGAGCCTGTTTCGGAGTCTGTGACTCCCTCTCTCTCTGACCCTCCCCTGCTCACACTGTCTCTCTCTCTCTCTCTCCTAGAAATAAATAAAACATTAAAAAAAATTAAAAAAAAAATAGAACTCTCTTCTAAAGGTGCATACAAAATGACTGTGGTTTAGGAGACACAGGAATTCTGTTCTTAAATCTTACTGTAGTTGTATAAATAAATCAAGTACAGACAAAAGCATTAAACTATTTATTGTGCGAAGATTGAATGGTATACCAGACTTCATCTCAAGCAAAAGCTAGAATTCAAAATAATTTGAGGAATACATGTATCTCCCATAGAGATAAGCAAATAGGAAAACCCCAACATGCAGAGAAGGGTACAAGCTGAGCACATTTTGGTACGCTATTTGGCTGTTTCCCAGTCTCAATGCTCATTTGTCGTTATTTTGCTGCTCAGTTACCTTCTCCTCACATGACGGTGAAGTAGTGGTAAATGTTTTCAGAATACATCTGTGACCCAAGACAGTGTCTCACCCAAATGTTCTAAGAATGAAGAGTAGAGAACTTCTCTTCTAAATCTAAATATACTGATTAAGCATTCATATCATGTTAAAAAGCAACTCATTTATCTGTGTTATTTAAAAAAAAAACAAACACAAACCTGTTTTATCTGCCAGCTTACGTTTCTGAGCTTTTGAAAGTTGTTCTTTTTTGTCTTTTTTCTTACTTGATGGGGCTGTATTAGGAGTTTCAACGGAGATGATACTGCTTATGGGTATCTAGAAAAAAAATAATTCTTATACCAGTGCCTTAAAACTTACTGAATTACACTAAATATGGCCACATCCACAAAGGAGTTGACAATTTTTAGATTTATGAAGTAAAAGAATCCTATATTATAATACTCATGTATTAGGTCAGGTGTCAATAGCACATTGACTTCTAAAAGTTCACATGTAAGGACTTCAATAATATCAGTTCAATTATTACACCCAGGTCCCCGAGAAAGAAGATCTGACACCAGGATGACATTGAAGCTCTAAAGTACTAAGGTAATTTCACAATTCAGCTGATTTGCTTTATTTGGAAATTTAAATAGGTCTTTAGGAAAATCACATGTGCCTACCCAGAAATTCCTGATTCCCTGAAGGAAGAAAGAAAAATATTTTAATTTGGATTTATGCAGTCAAAGTGTGATCCACAAAATTTAAAATGCTTCCTAGGCGCCAAGCATTGCCGTGAATGTTGTACATGTATCACTCCTCTGGTCCTTACTGCCACCTTACGAGGTAGAGGCCATTATAATCCCCACCTTTATAAGTGAACAAAGAGCCTAGTGAGATTAGGATGTCTGTCTCCTTCCCTCCCCCAAGAGAAGTCTAAGAGCGAGCGGTGTAGGGAGAGTTTTCCGGGCCACAGGCCATGAGCTCCGCTGCCCCGCTCTGTGGCCTCTCTGGCGGCCCTCCGTGGTCTTCCGTGTTCTGCCAGGGATGTGGGAGCCAGAAGTGCTCAAGTAGAAGATGCAGCCTTTGCTGTCAAACAGCTTCCGGCTTGGTTCACAAAGCTCAACCGACCTTGACCGCTCAAAGTCTTTTAGCACGTGACTTGGTGCAAAGGGGTCTAATACGCAGATCATAAAACATGATTATTTCCTGAAATACTTTTAGAAATAAAATAACATTTTTCCTTTTTAACGTGGTCTATTTCAGCTTGCACCCAACTTCAAAGTGAACTGTGGCAAGGCTATCTGCAACTAAATGTGCTTCATGAAAAAGGTAATTTCCTACATATCTTAGCACTACCTAAGAAATCCTCTAACTAGGCCTTATAAAGACATTCAATAAATTTTAAAAAATACTCGGTTCACTAATATCTCATTTTTTAAAATAACATTCCTTTTAAGTTTATTTATTTAGTTTTAAGAGAGAGTACGCGTGCAAGAGAATGCAGGAGGGGCAGAGAGAGAAGAAGACAGAATCTAAAGCAGATTCTGCACTTGTCAGGGCAGAGCTTGATGCGGGGCTCGAACCCACAAACTTTGAGTTCATGACCTGAGCCAAAGAGCCAGATGTTGAACTGACTGAGCCACCAGGTGCCCCAACAGTGTCTGGGCAGGCTCATGTGTGTTCTAGTCTTGCATGAAGGGTAAGAGCTGGAGGATATAATTTCATTTTTGAAGTTAAATAGATACCAAGAAATCTAAAATTCATTATTCTTATTTAACTCAGATATAACTCATTTTAAGTCTAACACAAAATCGGGGCGCGTGTGTGGCTCAGTAGGTTAAGCAACAGACTTTGGTGCAGGTCATGAACTCACAGTTTGTGAGTTTGAGTCCTGCTTTGGGCCCTGTGCTGACAGCTCAGAGCCTGGAGTGTGCTTCTGATTCTATGTCTCCATTTTTCTTTCTGCGCCTCCCCAGCTTGCACTCTGTCTCGGTCTCAAAAATAAATAAAACATTAAAAAAAAAAAAAAAAGTAACACAAAGTTTCCTTCCAATTAAAAAAAAAAAAACTAGTAAAGATCAATTAGTAGCAGAGTGAAACCAAAATAACAACAACAACAGAAAAACCTTGGCCCAAACTAATCACAAGCTCACCGTAGAATTAACTGGGTGGTGATTCTCCATGAACTGCTCCTTATTGTCCTTGGCATATTCAAACAATGTGTAGGTCATGGCCGTCCCGAGATTAACTTCCACTGCTTCCTGTAACTTGGCTAATATGCTCTGCTTTACGGCTGATGATCTACAACGCACAAGAAATATACCACTAAGAAAAATTATGTAAGGGGGAGTGTTACAAAAAAACAATGAAAACAAAACACTACTCACATGGTGTTGTTAAAAAAAGCGTTCATAGATATAATTGGAGGTGTTTGGGGATAGGTTTCTGTCCAGGAAATCTCTATTAAGAAGGCTTTGGGATCGCCATTTTCACCTATCTGAAGAAAAGGGAAATCTTAGGCTTGTAGAAAGTGATACAAAGACAGAATATATATTACGACTTTTAAAATGATGAATTATTGCCAATGCTCATGATCAGGTCAGAAATGTAGTATTTTGAAAAGCTCAGGAGTATGGGCTAAGACTTGGAGGGGTTGAGGGCCATATAAATAGAGTGACTTTTGATGTTCACGGCCCGTCTCCCACCAGTCCTTCGGCTTTTTCCAGTACCAAGACTGTCTGATATAATTTTTGTCTCATCAAAACTTTTTGAAGACAGAGACATCGACTGTGGGGGACAGGAAGACAATGGACAAAAACAATAAAGCAACTTGAAACACCTCATCTTTGTCTTAAGTTTTCTAACTGCTGGATCATAAGAGGTGTTAACAGCAAGTAAAGTGACACACATTAGCACAATTCCCAGAGACTGGAAAATGAAGTGTAACACCTATAGAAAAAAAGGCAAAGAGGTAAGGTTTAGGGATGCCTCAGGCTGGGTGAGAACGTTCAAGATCTACTCTCTTAGCAACCTTCAACTATGCAAAATGATACTCATTAACCAGAGTCACCATGGTATACATTACATCTCCTTTATTTACTTTTTTTTTTAATAACTGGAAGTGTATAACTTTTGACTCCCTTTACCTGAATAATTTTAAGGTGGCTTTTCTATTTTTTTTGCTCTCCCCCACTTTTTATTTGGAAAAATTTTAACCTCACAGAGAAACCAGAATAAAACAATGAACACTCATTGACATATACCTCATTCACCAAATACTTCCGCTTTTATCCATTTCTCTTCCTTCCTTACCACTGCAGAATCAACCCCTACCCGAATGGGGGTGACTCGTTTTTCTTTTTTTGTTGTTGTTGTTGTTGTTGTTGAACTATTTGAAAGTAAGACATGATAAAACATCCTTAAATATTTATTGGGTAGAGTATCCTAAAAATAAGCACATTTTCCTTTATGACCACACTACCATTATCACAGCCAAGAAATTCAACATCGATACAGTAATATTACCTAATTCGTAATCCATCTAAAAAGTTCCCCAATCATATCTAAAGTGTCCTTTAATAAACCACCTCCTTGACCCACAAATCTGTAATCTACTAAAGATCATGGATTACATTTGGCTGCCAAATTTCATATTCTGCTTTAATTTAGAACAGTCTCCAGCCATCCTGCCTGCCTTTTAAATATCTTTCATGACGAAAAGAATCTAGGCCAGGTTTCTTGTAAAATGTCTCCAAATCAGGACTGATTATTTCCTGTATTCCAAGTCAGATTAAATATTTTGGTAAGGATACTACACAGGTGCTGTGGTATATTCCCATAGCATCAGATAAGGAGGCACAGAAGGTTTTCTGGAATCATCATTGGTGATACTACGCTCCATCACTTGATAATTCTCCAAATCTCTTCAATGTAAAGGTATCTTTTCCATTTTGTAATTAAAAAGTAATCTGTGGGGTGACACTACAAAACCATGTGAATATATCGTTTCTCAACATCTTTTCATCCAAAGGTTTTACCATCCATTAATGATCCTTACCTGAAACCATCCTTATACTGGTGGCTGCAGAATGGTGATTTTTAAAAAATTAATTTACTTATTTATTTGAGAGAGAGAGAGAATGAGTGGGGGAGAGGGAAAGAGGAAGAGAGAGAGAATCCGAAGCAGGCTCCATGCTCAGCACTGAGCCCCACACAGGTCTCGATCCCATGACCCTGGGATCATGACCTGAGATGAAATCAAAAGTTGGACACTCAACCAACTACGCCACCTTGGTGCCCCCAAATGGTGATTTTCTAATAAAACTACGGAATAACTCACAAATCAGCATCTCCCTGTACAAAGTTATGCTAATTTCCACTGTAATATCTTTAGTGTACTTGCTGGGTTTTTAAATCTTTATTTTCAGACAATAGCAACAGATTAAAAAAATTTTCATCCCAAACTGTTATTTGATTCACCTTTACTCTCTGACCACTAATTTTTTATTCCTTCCCCTCACCCTCAATCACAAGATACACGAATACAAAGTGAGGCTTAGAAATTATGTCAAATAAACTTAGGGTTCTGCTGATATTCACCTATGTAAACTGATTACATAATTGGTTTGTGTTTCAAATGCAGAGATTATGAAAAAGTGATAAAAATTTCTTTATGCACTAAGTCCTTCTTCAAGGTGCATATAAACAAGGTGCCACAGGTCTCCGGCAGTGCTGGGTACATTAGATACAAAGAGACAAGACCGTGCCAGTCTTCAAGGGGGGCAGACGTTTAGGTAACTCACCAAACTGCACCATGATCAAACATTTAAAAGGGACAGAACAAAGTATGAAGACATGTGGGATGGCCAGGATCTGAGCGAGGCATCTGCCTATGCACCGGCCAGGACTGTGCCCTGGTCCTCTGACTCTCCAGACAGACAAGGTTTCTGAACCTCACCTTTTACTCCCTTTAAATTCATCCTGTGGTCACATCACGGTATCCATCCTATGGGACACACATGTCCGACTCCATGCCGTACGCTGTGCTCAACAAGTAACTGCTGGTGTTAATGCAGATATTTATGAAAGACATTTAGGAAAGGATCAGTGTCCCATTTGCTAAGGGGAGAGTGGCCATTATTGGGGAAGTCTGGGGAGGCATCTGGATTCAAATAGAAGGGTCTAGGACTTAACTACATTATAACCTTGGTTATTAAAAGTCTTTTCATTGTCCTATCCATGGAGTGGTGTAAGGATTATTGAGCTCAAAAGGGAATCAAGAGGAGTGGAGCAGAGGGGAGAATATCTAAAGTAATTATAAATAATTTATGTCCTGTGATATCTATAATTATGTACTTATCATGTAACTTACTTTAGATGGTAACATAACTTTTACAAAAAAACTTTCTCATCTTACTACTACTTATAATCACCTGGGTAAGTGGTTTTTATGTTATTTATTCACAAAATAAGATAAGATATTGTTTCACGTTGAAAACAGAAGCAAACTCCCTTTCAAAGAAAAATTGATATAACACATTATGTAAAATATATTCACACATATTGATAATATGGAATTAGGAAAATTTCAACTTTTCTTGACTATATCAAGGTAGTAAAAATACTTCTAGATTTGGATTAGAGACTTGGATTTTAGATCTAGTATTGATCAGTATCAGCCGGGAGAGCTTAGGAAGTTATGATTGAGAGAAGTTATCTTTAAGATTAGAAGGCAAAATTACAGAATATCTGAGGTGTCTTTCATTTCTAATATTTGATGACTCTGTCACAATAAAAACAAATTTATCTTGGTTTTTAAGTTTCTGAATTGGGGGCACCTGGTTAGCTCAGTGGGTTAAGTGTCCAACTCTTGATTTCGGCTCAGGTGTTACTCTCAGGTTCGGTGGTTCGAGCCCCTTGTGGGGCCTGCTTGGGGGTCTCTCTCTCCCTCTCTCTCTCTCTCTCTGCCCCTTCCCCACCTGTTTTCTCTCCCTCATAATAAATATATAAACTTAAAAAAATTTTTTTTTAATTTAAAAAAGTTTCTGAATTGTTTTCAAAAGTTAAAAATAACTGATACCATGGTGAGGAGCCTTCATTCAAATGCTTTGAAAATCCAAAGATGTAATAAATTTAAGCCACTGAATTCAAAATACAAAAGGATTTTTTAAAAAAAAAGCATTTTTAACAAGCTTCAGAGACAGAGTGTGAGCAGGGAAGGGCAGAGAGACAGGGAGACTCGGAATCTAAAACAGGCTCTGAGCTGACAGCAGAGAGCCCGACGCAGAGCTCAAACTCACGAACTGCAAGATCATGACCGAGCTGAAGCTGGATGCTTAACCGACTGAGACATCCAGGTGCCCTTAGCTTCAATCTTTTCTCCAACAGGAGCAAGGGCTCCTGTCCATGCCGCCTCTTACCCTGTACTGAAATGAAACTGGACTCAGTTCCCGGAAGCTTTCATCTCCTTCATAAATAGAACGTAATGCTTCCAGCTCCATCTGGGAAAAAAAAAAAAAAATGAATCAAGTGAGTTTTGCTTAGTGGTATAAAGGGATTAGAAATAGAGGGTCTTTAGTTTCTGATTCAAGCCCACTCAACTATGTAAAACTCAGCTACCTTTTGTCGCCTTCCATGTTTATAACATGTGTATACAATATACATGCAATACAGCAACACAATATTAATACTAATAGTTACTTTAATCCTTCCCACAGAATGATACCAAACTTCAAAAAACATTATGGACAAGAGAAACAACTTAAAAAAAAAGAAAAAAAAAGATGGTTAGAAACAAGTTGACAAGGATCTACCCAAGATGCGAAAGGGCCTGCAAGAGAAAATGTCACTAATAATCCTTGCCTGGGAACATTTCTTAGAACACTGTGGGGTGACAGATGAGAAGACTCCATCACTGTTGTGATGTCTGATGAACCGAGAAGAGAAGCAAGGGGAGACAGCACTTGGGTATGTATTTTAGTTTCCTAAAAGATGCATGTCGTGAATTCTACAAAGGAAAATGGACAAAATTCTAGAGCAGATTGTTAAAGAAACAGCTCCTGAGGTCCCAGGGAATAAAGAGTAAAAGTCTCTGAGCCTTGGCAAGCGTACAAAACACAAGATAAACGTAAGCACCCTTTCCTAGAGAGGGTGACTTGACGGGCACATCAGGGAAGGGCTCAGAACAGTCTACCTGAGTTTTGGCAAGAGCAGCACAGATTTCTCTTGCTATCTTCCCAGGAAAACAAATAAATATAGGAGTTCAAACTGGATTCAAGAACTGAGATTAGACTAGAAAGAACAACCTTACTCGAGATCTAATACTACTCCTCCTTTCCCATATTTAACTATATTTCCCATATTTAATCCTTTCCCTTATTTTAACTAAGGAGTAGGACAGGGACAAAGATTGAAGGCAGGCTTAGCAAATTTATGAATGACAATTTGATGGGATAGTGAATCGTGCTGGTGGCAGAAGAATTCAGAATATCCTTGGAAAACCATCTGCTAACAAGATGAAATTTTACAGGGTGGGTGGAAGAATTTATCTGATACCCAAACTAGTAGAGGATGAAAGGCTAATTGCTTTGTACACGGCCCTTAAAGGGTTATAATTGACAGCAACAGACAGTAGGAAAACGGACATAAGTAAACATAATCTGTCCACAGGCACACGATTCCAGGAGAGTGAAAGAACAAAAAGAATGGACATATGGAGAAAAGCTAAAAGGAATCATTGTGTATGAGAACAGGACATTGGAAAAGCTGTGCAGAAAACTGCCTTCAAAGATGTGAAAAATCAGTCACGTGGAAGACGAATGGAATTATATTATTAAGATGGAGATCTCTGGGCTCCACAGGAATTCCAAGTCGGTAAATCACAGGCAGGGTATAGGCATCTGCTTCTCTAACAAACACCCGGATGGTTCTAAGGCACCGGCCATACTCCTCCATGGGCGAGTGTTACGTTGTACACTCCATGCTTAGCAGTAGCAACTTGTTCATGCCTTGACTTAGAAATTCACCTGGCAAGGACAATTTAGAAGGGATTCAGATATCAATTAGAAGGGACATTTGGGTTCTTTATAGGTAACTTCCAGTCCGGAGATGCTACCACATCTATTATAGAAAAGGGCTACCTTTCAAGAAATATATCCTTTTTAAATTTTTTTTAAACGTTTATTTATTTTTGAGAGAGAGAGAGAGGGAGAAAGAGCATGAGCAGGGGAGGGGCAGAGAGAGAGGGAGACACAGAATCCGAAGCAGCTCCAGGCTCTGAGCTGTCAGCACAGAGCCCACCAACAGTGAGAACATGACCTGAGCCAAAGCCGGACTCTTCACCAACTGAGCCACCCAGGGGCCCCTCCAGAAATATATTCTAAATGAAGAGTGAACTACTTTTCTAGGAGGCTCGCATTCCAGTCCTGAGTCCATCCCACGAGCTCACTGTGCAGCCCTGGGGCGTTCACGCTACCCCCGCAAACTCTTCCTCATCTGTACACACGACACCACTAGGGAAGGCTCCCCTAGAGATGACCTCTGTCACTCCCTGATCATAGGATTCAACGTCAACGTGGCATTTCACGAGAAAATATCCGAGCACAAAAAACCATACGATTCAGGTGGCACGTGTATGTTCAAAATAGACTTCGTTTCCCCTGGACAACCACCAGATGGATAAATGAAGCCACCGAACAATGAGGCCAGAAACCAGAGACACCAGTGTCATTATTTTCCTCCACCAGAAATTAACGAACTCAGTGAAGCCTCTCCCTATTGGCCAATAGGTTTTAAAATTGAAAAGTGATCGGGTTCCAAACGGCATAACTCAGTACACACGCGCTAAAACAAGAAGGGTTTAAGGACAGGAGAGAGCACTGGCTCGCCTAACAAGGACACTCACCCTTGGGGCGTGGGGCCACCCCTGGGCTTGCAAAACTGAACACTGAGATGGGGGGGAGCGGACGCAAAGGAAGACCTTTTTCCCTTCCCGCTCTCCTGCACCCCCATCCCCCCCGCCGGCAGGACACCGGTAAACTTGGGGGCGCCTCAGCCAGGCTCTGGGCGCTGCAGAGGCGCGGACGCAGGTGCGGGGGCGCTCGTTCCGGCGCCGGGCGGCAGCCGGGCCTCCTCGGGTCAGCCGCCCTCTCCGGGAGCCGAGGCACCGCGCCAGCGCGGGGAAAGGGGCGTCCGGCCAGGGGGACTCACCTCCTGGTCCTCGTTGGCACTCATCGCGCCGATCACGGGACGCCTCTCGGGAGGACGTGCGCGACGCCGAGAAAGCAAGAGCAGCGGCCCCCAGCCCCGGGCGTCCCCCCCGTGCCGCGCCCCGGGCTGCGGGACGCACACCCCTAGCACTGCGGACAGGAGTCACGCTCGCCCCGAGCCTCAGGGCAGAGCGATGCCGCCAGTGGGGGGTCTGTGGGCGGGGAGCCGGAGGCCGCCGAGGGTGGGGCGCCCTGGAGACTGGGGCGAAGCTGCAGGGCCGCGGTGGCAGAAGCCCCGCCTCCTCCTCCTTCTCGCTTCTCCTATTGGCTCCTTCTCTCCCCGCCCCTATTTCCTCCTCCTGTAGAAAAGGGAGCGTCTTCCTGCGTCTTGTGGAGCCGCGTGAAGTCTCCGGACAGCGGTTGGCATCCGGCGCTGTCACTCAGGTCCAGAAAGTGCTTCCTGTGCCTGCGCGGGCGGTACCGGGAAGTCTCGCTCGCGGGGACGAGCTCCGGGGCCGTGGCGGTGGCTGTAGGGACGGGCCCCGGCGTTCTGTGACATCCTGCCTGCTTTCCCTCGTCGAGCCCCGGCCGGCGGCGACCGGCCACAGCTGCAGCGGGCCCGGGGCGTGCGGCCTGGGTGAGTCCGGCCCCGGAGACCTGCGGGGCCAGGCGAGACCGCCGAGGGAAGAGAGCTGGCTCCCGACAGTGCTACTTGGGGGGCTGCGTTTTCCTTCGGCGTCTTCGGGTGCAATCCTGGCGTTTCCCTTCTAGCCCCTAAAGATAAGACACACCTGTTTCTAAGGCCTCTAGGTTTAAAGGGAGGGGGAGGAGACGGGGAAGCAAGCGTCTGCCTTGAGGGCTGCAGCGTTATTTCTCCGCCTATCCCCGTGGATCCGCTGGAGCTGAATGCCGAAAGTTTGGGGAGGGGGTCTTCCTGAGTCGGGTTGTCCCTTCACGTTCTCAGCATCTGCTTACCACACCCCTCCCCATCCCGGCCCCCAATTGTCATTCCTCTTAAGATCGTTTTGCAATTGGACTTCTCCGATTCTCATCCTTACAAAGCTTGTGCACTACACCCCGAACCTCCCCGTAAATTAAAAATAAAAAAGTGACTACGTTGTTTTGTTTTAAACCCCCCACTTTGCTGAGGTCGCCTTTCTTGCAGTATATCATCTTTTTCAAGGATCATCCTTATGTTTTTCCACGCCAGCTTCCAGATTTATTTCCCCTTGCATTATTACATGATCTCCCATCCAGAGTGTTCACGATATGACTTTTGCACCTCCTTCCATATCATAGTTTGTTAGTTGCTTCATTGGCTTCTTCCGGGAGATCTGGAAATATCCACAAGCTGTCACTGAGATCCAGACAACCTCTGCACCTGTCCTTTGCTGGTGTTCTTCTCAATCCCATCCCTTTGCTGTAGAATAAGCAGTACCATCTCAGTCCCAAACGCTTTTAAGGTAGTAGGTGGCAAGAAATTCTGATACAGTTTCTATACGGTGGTTTTGCGGTACAGAATTATAACAACTTAAGCTGGGCTCTCCATTATGATAGGCAGTAGCCAAATGTGGTCTTTGAGCATTTGAAATAGGCTAGCCTGAATTGAGGTGTACTGTGAGTGTACAATACACATCAGATAATGAAGACTTGGTACCAAAGGGGGAAAAAAGTGAAATATCTTAGTAACAACTCATTTTCATGTTGAAGTGATAATATTTTGGACATACTGGTTAAGTAGGATATTATTAAAATTAATTCCACCTGTTTCTATTTTTTAGTGTGAGCAGAAAATGTAAAATTGTTTATGTGGCTCATATTCTATTTCTCTTGGACAACACTGTTTTAGAGCTTAAATAACTCATTTCTAGCTCCTCTTAATTTTGCTCTATATTCAAAGACCATGGCCAATTCTCTTGAGCCTCTGGGGATGTTAAAGGAAATGGTTAGGGTTCTAATCTAGATTGGTGTAAAGCAGAGGCCTCCATATACTGTTTTGACCATCTCTTTAATTTTCACCTTCAAATTCCCTAGAACTAGAGTTTTTCTTTCTCTGAACTCTGCCCTCATCACTTAATCCTATCTGGAAAGTGTCTGCTTAAATAATTCTAAAACTTCTTTCTCTTGCAGACATTTATCAGTTTTGGTAAGCTTTCCAAATCATTTATTCTATACCCCTTCTTACTTCAATACTTAAATGTGAGAAGCCTAATGATTTATTTTTAAATTAACCTTTCAGTTAAAATTATTTGGTTTCAAGTGGTGGCATAGTGCTTTTCACTTTCCACAAAAATTGTGGTTGAGTTCTGTATGTCATACAGGTGAAGAGCACCTCTTAAATGAGAAATTTCTCATTTGGAAATGAGAAATTATCTTTAAAATATAGCAATTTTGTTTGGAGTAAACATATTTTTATATAATTGGTTTTCTTTTTTTCCCTCGATTAAAAAATTTTTCATTTAAAAAAGTTTTTTTTAATGTTTTATTTATTTTTGAGAGACAGTGAGTGTGAGTGGGGGAGGGGCAGAGAGAGAGGGAGACACAGACTCTGAAGCAGGCTCCAGGCTCTGAGCTGTCAGCACAGAGCCTGATGTGGGGCTTGAACTCATGAACCGTGAGAACATGAGTTGAGCCAAAGTTGGTCATTTAACCCACCAATCCACCCAGGAGGGCCTAAATTTTTCATTTTAGAGAGAGCATGCATGAGCAGAGAAGAGGGACAAAGGGAGAGAGACAGAGAGAGACAAGGAATCTTAAGCAGGCTTTGTTCTCAGCTCAGAGCCCTACATGGGGCTCAATCCCACAACCCTGGGATCATGACCTGAGCTGAAATCAGGAGTTGGCTGCTTAACCCACTGAGCCACCCAGGAGCCCCTGTATAATTGCTTTTCTAAAGTTAGTGCATGGTAGGATTTATAGACTGATTCTCAGCTGCAGGACGCAGTAGAAACGTGTCCTAGAGGTTTTCACTCGTTTTTTTCCTTCTAGGTATTCCTATAAATAACACATATTAATTGTGAAGACGTGTGGAAGCGTAGCTATTTAGATAACTGGCATATTATTTTAATACTTTCCCAGGAATTCAGAAATTAGATGTTAGCAGTTACAGAGGTTAGAGAGAGTTGTATTTGTTATATACGTAAGTCAGCAGTTATTTTTCTTCCTGTCAGAAATGGTTCATGAGACTGATTTTAATTCGGTCACCTTCCTGCTTTCTTGGCCTGCTCATCCCAAAGTTCTGTGTGTATTTTGAGATGTTGCTGAAAACACTGATTTGTCATGAAGTTGACTACAGCCTTTGTAATAGGAAAGATTTTATAAAAAATATAATACCACTAGTTATTCAGGAATTGAAGTTTTCTCTTTTGTTGTCCTATTTTGTATTTGCTCGACAGTTTGCAGACACTCGAAAAGACTCAGCCTTTGGCCTTTTCTAATATATGATGGAGGCTCATATATTAGATATGGACGTGGGCTTTTAAAACATTTTGAATGTATTTACATTTGTATTTCAGATTTTTTGTGACGCCTTGAACATGAGCCCCACACAGTGGGACTTCCCCGTGGAATTATGTTGTCGGCCTATGGCTTTTGTTACCCTTACGGGCCTGGATGTAGTTTATAATGCTGTCCACCGAGCTGTCTGGGACACTTTCTGTGCCAATCGGAGAGCTGATCGGGTACCAATTTCTTTCAAGGTGCTCCCGGGTGACCATGAGTATCCAAAATGCAGACCTAAGGTAATGACATTATGATTGCGTGGGGGCTTGCCTTCTCTCCCTCTCTTCCTCTGTATGTGTGTGTATCTTTTTGTTGTTGTTCCTGAAGTCTGTGCTGGAAAAGCAGTGGTGATAGTGATGCATTATGAAAACCCAAGGCTTTTTCGTGTATGTAATGCATTATAGGTATGTTTAATGATAGTTATTTTTTTAACCCCAGAGAGATAATTACTTTATAATTATTAAGCTTTCTAGCCTCAATTTTTTTTTCCAGGTGCTTAAAATCACCCCTGGTCTCCATAAAGGCCTCTCTAAAAGTAAGGTCTCATTCACCATTGATCTAAACTAGTATCGTTATAGAATCCATGGACTTTGCGGTTTGGTTCAATTTCGCACACGTTTTTTGAGCACTTGCTTTGTGTTACGTCCTAGGAACGATGCAATAGGCTGATGACAGAAATTTAAATAAGACATAAAGACATACTCTCTGTCCATGGAGACTTCTGCATAAACGGAAACAGTTATATAGTATGGAGTGAGGAAAGGCATTAAGTTCAAAACGGACCTTTAGGTTGAACATCATAGTGGAGACTGATTGACCTAGAAAAATAACGGAGTAATGTAAATAATAGCAGCTAATAAAAGTGCATACAATGTCAATTTACTTTTTTAAGAAATTCATGTATATTCATTTGTTATTTATCATAAGCTTATGAGTTGGTCTGAAAGTCAGTGAACAAGACATCAAAATAAACCACTTGTTTGTGTGTGGGTGCGTGCGCACGCGCCCTGGAGCAATGTTTCTGACACATCGGTCTTTGGACCAAGTATATCACCATCCCTTGGGGTGCTTATTAAAACATGAACGTAAGGCCTCCTCGGTGGAACTCTGGAGGGGCTAGGACTATGGATTTGGTCGCCGGCTGATTCTTTGGCTTACGTGTGGGAGGAGAGTGGACACACGGTGTCACGTCCCTGGCTGTAGACGCTGCGAGCTCTCTCTGGACTTGTGCAAGTCACAGCGCCCCCGCACTCACACATTGGGTGTTAGCTGGTGTTTGTGTCCAGCGGGGCCAGTGCCCAGCACAGCTGTGCCCCATTTGTCCTGGGTCCCTTCTCCAGCGCAGGGAGCTTTTCATGTGCCCATTCCTTGTTCTTTCCCGAGTCCCTGAGTTTTTTGTGTCGGGTTTCCTCATTGTCCTTACCTTTCCTCACTTGAAGTAGATGTGGGATCCACCCGAGGCTGAGTCGGTGCTGGTGCTGTGGAAGTAATTTGAGGCTTCCACTAGTTTCTTCAGGGCTGGTGTTCACGTCTACCACCTCTTTCCCTTGATTTGGCACGTAGTGCTGACCCCCACGTGACTGCTATGACATTTCTGTATTTAAGAGTTGTCCTGAGTTCCTTTCGTCATCCACAGTTAAGGTCAAATGCCATCCTGGTAATATGTGTTTGAAACAAATGAAGCCATGTGGGACTTTCGATAATACTTTATTTGAGCGGCTTTTACAAGAACAGAAACTGGAATGGCCAATAGAATTTACCTGGAAAGGGCTAATTGCTTCCAGGATATTTGA